TGGTCTAAAGCACCTCCACGTGGAATACTGCCCCATTCGTTCGCACAGACAGCGCATGTTGGTAGGTTACTTGAGGCCGAGCCAGTTATTCCCACAGACAGTGTGAGTCAAACAAGCTTCAGTCTTCTAGGACACAATTCGGAGCCCCATCCTCGTTTTGCGTCACCACCACTGCTACTATCGAAAAATCGTTCAGCTTATATGTTTTCCGCCCGCCAACATCGGATGACCTCAAGGAAGTTTTACCATGGCCACACGTGCAGTATTACACTGACCAAGGTCAAATCGGATGTTTCGACAGGCTTCATGAATAAGTAGTTGTGATTCGCCCGGCTATTCACCAAAAATCACGGATTTGGTCAATCGATCAAAAGTACAGACACAATTCTATTCATGAGGCCAATAACAGAGTTTTGTGTGGCAAACATCCATCCACACTTTTATCACCAATCTGTTATCGTCATTGTTGCCTCACAAGTAAATTACCGAAAATTTTAAAAGTTTGGATGAATGCAACCTAATTTCTACAAAACAACCTAATTTCTCAAAACCCAAATTTTACCATAACAGACTCAATTATACCAGGTAAGTCAAAAAGGTGCAAACAGGTGTTTTGTAGCTTGAGCCAAATGGCAATTAATTAAGAATGGATTGCCATTTGAAAAGATATATCACAAAGAGGAAATTCCCTGGTGTTCAAGAAAACGAGGAAATGAGAAAGGAGGTGAGATGTGATGCGATGCGATGCGATGGCCTTAGTGTGCCATGAGTTCACATCAGATCAGATCAAACAGACTCTATTGGTCTCATTGTACATCGGGACTTTTCCAGTGTGCTTTACAAAATTGTCCCTTGAAAGTGTTTACAAACGTGGCTCAGTCATAGTTGTATACCGCTACCACTCAGGGAGCTATGTGGCGATTTTGTCGCCTTTCTCTTCCCTCAACAGTATTTTGCAAGACTCCCTAATTTTCAACTCCATTAAAACTGATAGTTCGACATATCCTGGTGGGTAGCTACTTCTGACGGTCTTGCCCTGCAATCTCGAAACTCGATAGACCGACACATCTCATCAGCTGACTCACACTGAGCTTTCCTCACACGCCGATTCTCATTCAGTAGTACTGTGTTCGAGCTGGTTGATAGGTTCACTCCTCTTGACATCCTCTTCAGTGTAAATGGTACTCCTGACTAGACAGCTATCGGTTGATGATACCTCTGGAAATGTGTAGAGTTCACATCACTCGGGTTCTTGTGTCGGCCTCGTTATGGGAAGGTATTGGATGTTGTTCACTTAGTAAAATGGAGGAAGGCGAAGCTATTCAGATAGAATCGATAAGAATTCTACTCATTAGATTGGAGTGAAGGGGGACGGTTCAGACGGCATTGGTGTTTATGATGTTAGTGTACAACGCATATACTCTCAAGTGCTGGTAGGGCCAAGGTCCCATTTACACAGCAGTATGCGAATATTGACCTAACTTCTTTCCTGGCCCAGTATGGATTTCGTTTTTTAAAGGCTTTTAGAGCGTCACATTCTTTGAATCTTGGTCAGACGTTCGTCTTTTTTAGGCACCGTTTCTTATATTTCACTTTTGCGAGGTTAAGCCGTGAACCGTAGTAGCCAATCAACACGTAACCACATAGGGTTTGCATGATTCAAGCGAGTGTCTCGACATATCCTGTCCTTGCGTAACCTTTTGGTACTGTGGACCAGACACGTGCGGCTGACTCGTGTTGTTTTCAACCAAAAACTGGAAGGTTATTGGTTCAAATCGTACAGGAGAATTGCAATCTTATCAGTGCCGATGATTTTTTGACGTCTGTTTCTGGGCTTTTCATTGGGATGAAAACTCGACTGAACTTCCCCAACCTCATCTTACTGTCCTTCATGTTTTCGGAAGATGTCAACTGTGTAAAGAGTGCCCGAAGAGGTACAAATCTCTGTAATGTACTACTCACAAGGTTGCTGAGAACTATCTGACAGCCCAAGACCGGTTTCGCCCCTCTTGGGGCTCATCAGGTAGGCGCAGTCCCCGGGTTTCCTCAACCTTATGTTCTACTTGAAATCTCATTTATCCCCACCCTTTAAATTGTTCAGACCGACCGCAGTCAATGAGAGGTAAGTTAACAAAAATGCCTTGCGTTTTTTGTATCCACTTCAACATTGGACAATTGAATTCTACCACTGCAGGAAGTGCAAAAGTTACTTTCTTCAAGCCAAACCCCCCAAATGCATGAGTCTTTCTTTAACAGTCGGTAGATTTGAATAGTACAATGTGTGTTGAAATACCGGGTAAAATAACGGTAGGTAAGTGCACTGACCTACACAACTTTGAATTACCGAACTCGCTACTTGTGCGTAGCTTAAAAACTGTGCCTCTATTAAGGTTCCCGATACGGAACTTTGAGTGACGCGTAGGTTCGACAATCCCGAATATCACAAGAAAGAATTGGGTTCGTAATTCTACGGTACTATTTACACAAGGGTAAGCAAATGTGTACAACAAACCTCAAATGATCAAGTTCGTAGCGTTAACAGGTTCACAGGTCTGTCACTGACCGGCACAGTTCAGTGTCAACGTCCGCACACCAAACAACGGCGAGCGGAATGATGCTCAGTAGCTGGGGTTGCGGTACTTACTTCCGACGACGGCTCGGGGTTCTCATTGGACGTGCGATCACGCGGAACCCATGAGAAAACAAGTCAAGGCAGGCTCAGCAAACGGGACATAAACGCACATGGGTAAGTAGGTCAACAGCGCACTTCGCACACAGACACACAAGTGTCGGAAAGGACGGCCTCTGCGGCGAGGTGAGTGGCGGGTACGAAAAGCAAAACAACTGGAGTAAGCAAATGAATGGGGGGATTATCGTAAGGTCAAGTTAGATTCAACAGCATCATTAGCGGGGAGCCATCAACCACAAATTTGGGCTTGAGTGATACATTCTCAGGTGAAAATGGCATATTATTTCACCTGTTTTCATCCCTTTTGCAAAAACCTTCAATTGAGCATCTTCGATCGAATTTTGGATTACAAATAACCCACCAGCTCTCCTGCTTTCCTCAAGTCAGCTTCTCAACAGAATGTCAGAAGCATTCGTGTATGCCCAACCTCGTTTCTTAGTTAATATCCCGACTTTCTCGTCCTAACATCCTGATAGCAGGAGGAAGAACGTCCACATAGTGACTAGGAGTAAGCCTCGTCATTTGCTTCTGTATATAGTTCCCATCCCACAAGATATGGACCTTTGTAAATCGTATTCCATTAAGATAGGTCGAAAAGATTTCTCACCTACTTGGAGCGCGGTATTATCATATTTGGAAAGAATCACTGATTTTACGTTTCCCTCTTTCTCATCCACTTTTTTGTTTGTGAAGTTTATACAATCATGCCGCAGTCCCAGGAATTGTGGCAAGGTCTACTGGAAGCGCTTGGTGTAGATGAACTGTCAACGTACGATATTTGTAAAGGAGTAAGTCAGTGTCCGGTTTTTAGTTCCAGCGCGTCAGGTGCATAACAATTCATGTCATACGTTTCATGGTATTATCAGGTGGTCACATTTAGTTTTCTGTTCCCGATGTAACTGGGCTATCAATCTTTGTCGAGGCTTCACACACCTATTAGCCATTAATTTTCGCGTGATTTATTTCCATATTGGATATTAAAGGCTGGTATGTTGTCATAGAAACTGACCTCCTCCTCAGGTCGCACTCAGATGTCCGCGTGAGAGTACAATGTCCAATAACTTTTTCCCAGTGGTCATGACTAACTTGAGTTGTGTCCTGATTACGCGATGACTGACGTTTAGGCAGATGCCCGTCTTCAGAGCATGAACAAACTTCTGCGCCTATGAACAGATTCCTAACTGTATCATACCTTAAAACAACTCTTTCTTCCTTCAAACAGGTGGAGTCGGTCTTGAAAAAGGCGAATATACCGCCTTTCGGGTGTTCGCAAATTCCCAAATTTCCAAAGGAAGGAGAAGAGAAATCAGTCAAAATCTACATAGCCGAATGCAGAAACACCGAAGCCAAAGTCAGTAGCGACATCATGACAAAAATCCACCAAGCCCTGAACGTTGATCCCGGCTTTCCCGTTAACGTTACAAGTAAGCAAAACTGGTATTTATATATTTTTGTAATGCGACCGGTTTCGCCCTTCTTGGGGCTCATCAGGTAGGCGCAGTCCCCGGGTTTCCGTCAACCTTATGTTCTACTTGAAACCAAATTGCACGAAATTAGCGAATATACACTCATTTGCAAACTAATTTGGTTTTTCGAGAGACTCACCTGGAACTCAGCTGAATCTCTCGGTTTGGTGTTTCTAGGCGACTGAATGTGCTGCACCAGGCCGCCTCATGTTTCAGTCGCTACGATATTCGAGATATCGCGATACATATATATTTTTATAATTCAGTTGCCTGGAAACATCAGAAACCGAGAGATTCAACTGGGTTCTAGGTGAGTCTGTCGAAAAACCAAATTAATTAGCAAATGAGTGTATATTCACCAGAGACTGGTATTTCTTCGTGTTTGAAAAAAACTGTTTCTCGAAAGGTACAAATACATCAAGAAGTACACCTGAGTCATATTCCACCGTTGTTCCATAAGCATATTGTTTCCACGGAAAGCATCCGCCCTAGTTCACCCAGTTCGCAAATTCAATCTTTACACTTTCACTAATCCGTTGATGAGTCAACATTTTGACGATGCATCCTCTGGCCAGCAATTATACCAGTGATACCTAGAATATGCGAAGCATTAGAAAACTAGGTTGTGTCCTCTCATTTGTCACACTTGAGCCTTACATGATGATCCGTGAAAACAATAAATGGCCTATTTCGGTTTGAGCGCTATGATTCTGATCTCCAGATGAAGCCGCTGAACAATTCTAATTTGGAAATAGATAATGGAGTACAGACTGATGGCGATCGATTTACCTGTTACTATGCTGACTTTGAAGGCAATGGATGCATCTACAGGATCAGAATTTTTATCATACATAAGGCAACGCCTTTTCAAACCGACTCTGAACGGCAATCTCGGTTGAGGCAGACCCAAATGCCCCGTTGCTCGACAAACGCAATCTGTTGTTAAAACTACTCGGTAAATCGGCCGATCGGCTATACCGATCACCACAATCCTGACTGCAGTTGGTTGAAGATGGGCTCAGCCAGCACAGTAGTTCCGGTGGGTCTATCAAGGACATATTTCTCTATAAATCTGTCCAAGCATCCATCCTTTCCCAAAACGGTCTAATCAGAGCCCGTATTCCGCGTTCGCTTATCCAACAACACGCTTCTGTCTAATCAATCAAAAACTGTTGAAACGAGCATGTCTTTGTGGGCTTTCAATGCATTGGGGATTATGGACATCTGACCAGCTGTGTGTCAAGGAGGTGGAAGGGACTTCAGCTTCTAAGAAAACGCTTAACAACACCACTTTTCACCATCTTGAGAATGCAGTCTATGTATCATCAGTAAAGAACAGATAGTCCAATAGAAGCCCGAATGTGAAAATTAGGGGTCCGGGCTAGGTTCTACCATGTTGATTGGTAAAAGCTTCAAGTCATCCTTGAAGCATCCTTAAGTGTTTGCATGTGCAAAGGAGGCCTGTAAAGTACAGAGAGTGCAGTCATGTTTGCACAATAACACAGAGCACTTGGAAGCAAATGAAGTAAGCAACTAAAACTCTCAAGAACGTATTGATGCTAAATGGCATCGTGGATATGAAATTTCGTTCTACAAAAGATCTCCTCTATTGTATTCTCATGCACATGAAACTCTGGTGGTGTCTTCTTTCCAGTTCTGCCGTTACAGTTCGGGGCATGTCCGAAATGTGGTCACCATAAACTGGGAACAATATTTAAACCACAATATCATTCGTGGATGTGTACACAGGACATGAGACTTTCCGGGACAACTTTGCATAAGATTCTTTCGTGAACAGGCTAATGGATTAAAGTTTTCTTGACGACCAGAACACCCTCGGATTTGTTTAATTGAAAGACTTTGAGTGCCTGTTGCGTGTGCAGAGGCAACCCCTTTCTAAATGCCGTATGAGGTTTGCCGAAAGCCCACGGAGCAATAGACCATTTACTAGTCTGGACCCTATACTGAAATGTTATTGGTGATTGGACCCGCATGTTTTCTGAGTGTTCTTCATCCGCAGCAGTAATAAGGATTCGCTGTTTGTACCATATTTATAAGGGTCAAACAAGCACTCCATTCAGCACAACGATGACACTTGCACGTGCAATCGACCCCGTTGCATCCGTGCAGGCGCAGTAGCTGAGATAATGCACAGTGATTGGGCAGAACATCGATAGCTACCCCACTGTACAGTCACGATAACTACGTCTAACGCTGATTGGACTGGCGGACTAACCAATCACGTGCAAGTGTTGCCGCTCTTTGCTGCTTATTGGTTAATTGAAGGTCCCTGGTTCGAACTTGACCTCTGCCTCTCGACTTTTCTGTCTAGGCTTGGGCAACCTGGAAATATCCCAGCTCTCCTGCTTCCTTCGGGTGGCATGGCAGTTAGGCACTGAAAGGGTGCTACAGCTGAAGGATGATTGGTTAGTTCACTATTGACCCGGCGCAACCCACAGTTGAATAGTTGCCTAGCGGCCCTCTGGCGCGTGTCGTTCTGATCCACTCATTCGATGCATCGTTTGGTGGCGTAGAGGAGGTTCTACAGTCAGCCGGCTGGAGCATTTCACCACTGGCAGTGCGTCATTGAAAGGCTGCACCCCCGGTAAGACACCTGATGTTGTGGGTGAAATGGGAAAGGAGGAGAAGGGTACTGAGTGGACTAGCAATCCAGGTACGTAACAGATGAGCTAAATGACACCCCTTGTGGCATGTCAGTCACCTGAATACAAGCCGCGAAGTCGTATTCCCAATGGTCCTTCAGCTTACTCCACAGTTAATGCTCGTGAGTTTTATACCCCAAAAGTCACACATAACACTGCAAACTTGGCGATGAATATTGACAGATCTTTATAATTTCAACACCCGAAGCCGCATTAGCTGCGCGGATCAGAATATCGTTGTGAATCGAAACAAATTTCGGACCTAAAGCACTGAAGTCAATAAAAGTGCTGATCGGTTTCTGGATTAGAGTGAGGCATGTATGAAATCAGCACTTTTAGTCGCAGTACGAGTACCGTTTGTTTCAGTACATCCTAACTAGTTAAATTCATATTGGTCCTATGAAATTCCCCATGGGAAAATTTGGGTGAACCTTTCGTATACTCATAACGACGCATTCTATTGTATCTTCCCCTCCAGTTGGTCCACTGCAAGATCTGTGGAGTAAGTGACAAATCATCAAACTAAACAGTATGTATATGATAAGAGAAGTGGACAACATCCTTTCAGGTTTCGTCTAGTAAAAATGTCTTCTGTTCCAAATGTAGTCCATCCCTTAATATGAGGTCAGTCTAAGCTGGACACATTGTTAAGAGTAGCCAATAGTTCACATCCAACAAGCATCCCACATCATCTCACCACGGGTATTTCGTTAACCGTAGAATTATTAGCTTACAGAATATGGTGCCACCAAAACCTTACGGTGTTCAAAACCTTTTAACGAAAGCCACTCATTTTTAACACTAACATTTCATCTGATGCCCAAGTTCACCATTGATTGACTCGATCGATGTGAAAATGGAAGCAGTTGATGTGGCGAAGATGTTCCTTATTCCACATAGGGAAAGGAGCTAATCAGAGTTACACGGTCACTCGGAAGTGTATTGTGGATGTAGGTGGACAACCTCTTTAGGCTTCGGTAATTTTCAGGGCGAACCATACCTCAGCCAAGGCGTAGAAACACTTTATCCTTCAGAGAATAGGACCTATCATGTATGGGCTGCGAGCAAAAGTAGGAATAAAACTGGTGTCTTCTGCTGCTGGTTGGGAGTTTGTGAAGCGTTTTCGAAAAATTCTGCAAATCGTTTTGACGAAAACATAATTTGGATTCGAACAGTTGTGCGCAGTAGATTCCCAGTGAACTCACCAACCACTGTAAGTAGAGCCACTGTATGCCGAACTGTTAAAATCCCGCACACTAGCAACAGAGTAAATGATAAGGAAGATTAATGCACACGACGATTGAACTTGTCATCTAGGGATTCATCACTTCAGGAGCCAGTCAACACGTGACCACGTGATTCGGTCCCCTTGAATGGAGAATGAATGGTGCTGTATCCTGTCAAAGTGCGAGTTAAACACTGTAAATCAGCCGCTCCTGGCCGAATGGTTGCGTTCACTTGCTATCTAGGAGGCCGCGGGTACTGTACAATCAAGGCTTGTGTACGTAGCCAACAAGATAAGTGAATTTATCAACAAATTCCAATTCTGTGTTCTGAAATTTCAAAGGGGCATAAGGGGATGGGAAATCCTTATGTTGGACCTCGCAGTTTGAAGGGACAAAACCCGTAGCAAAATATGGGGCCACATATGACCTCTTGTTTAATGTAGTTTGAGCAGACGGATGATCTCCGGAAAACAAAATGCTGTTGTCTGCGAATCCTAGTCCATTAACGACCTTTCAGACGGGGTTTTTAATATGGAATAGAGTGTGCATTTCATATGAATGTCAAAAAAAGCTGAATCAAAAACGCGATGAGACAACCTGGACGGATTTCGCCTGCTATGAGAAAACCAGTGGACAGTTCATTTTAGGTCCAAGGCAACAGGATGTGTACGAATAAAAGACACGAAGAACGTTTACAAAGCTCAGGGGCATTCCGCACTGGTCAGTAATGTTTAAGAGATCCACTTGATCCACACAGTTGGCAAGGAAAATCCTAGTTGATTGTTGTCGATAGGATTGATGCTAATGTAGAAATCAGCCCATTGAAAATCGTATTCATCTTTGTTGGGAGTCATTATCAATGCGCATTCCACGAGGCTCTACCACCAAACATGCTGCCAAGAGGGACTTTGGAGCCATAGGTTGGATAATCCAAACTCCTGGCTGGTCGGCTACAGTCCTGAACCTTACCAGAGCTGCATGAGCTGTGTTCAGCTGTCCCAATCTTATTGACAAAAGCGAAGTGCCTTTAAAGAGCAAAATCCACATATGGAACATTGGAAATCTTTTCACTGATTAACTCATGCCGTCTGACCAACGCTAAAAACAAACGCCCAACTTCATTTTTTTCTCAGGTACAACAGCTGACGTGATACTGGCTTCAGCCTGGGAAAGTGATGGCGATCATAATATCCAGATAGAGTATGAATCAAGAAAAGAGGTAAGTTTCAAACTTACAGACATTTTGATCACGAAAAGCGAAAAGCTGTCGTTGTCTACGGGGATCATCTGAACTAATGGGGCCAAACCTGGCCCTTTCTGCCAGATGGTCTTTACAGCACTGGAAGCAACGAGACATTCACCCCTGATCGGAGGGAATTCTGCTTGTACTACTTGTTAGCCCGCCTCTACAAGGAGTTTCGTCACCAGAGACAATCCATTCCATTTTTAGCTAACAAAAATGAAGTCTGTATCCAACTCGGCAGACCACACCAAGCTGACAGAACAACTTTAATCCGATGGAATCTCGGTGTTAGGGGCAGATGATGAACGTGTCAGCTTTTGAGACATGTTTATCTGTCTAAATAGGCCATCCTGTATCAAACATTGCTTTTCATTTGCAGTTATGGCTTTTTAGACTCTGTTCTGTCGTCCTCGTTTGAACTAATTTCTCGTCAATTCTAGCCAAGCAAAGCATACTTTCAATTTATGACATGAACTTCCAAAACTGAAGAGCAGTTGAAGTAGCGGTTGTATCCAATGTGGTAGAATATGTCCTATCCAAAATCTGGGCTTGTAATCATGTCAGAGCTTGCAGCTTCGGCGCTGCAGTTAGGACGATTAATGAACCACAATCAGTTGTGAAAAAATCACGATCAGCTAGCCAACACATGATGTGAATTCTCCGGTTGAAGAATGGGTGGCGCTCTAAGTTCGAGTTAATCACACTGCTGGTCAACCGCTCGTGGCCGAACGCTTGTGTTTAACTGTTATCCGGGAGTTCGCGGGCTTAGAACTCCCTACTGGAATTTCATGGGATGTGCATTGCTCACGATTCGCAATAAGGGTGAAAGAGTTGTGCAGTGTTACTGGGTCTCCTGTTGCTCCCACCATGGCATTTTGAAATAAACTGACTTGACTTCAAGAGTCCTGTATTCTGCTTAGTGCATA